TGGTAGTTTGAACAATGGATGCTTTGCAAGTGGTGAAAACGACTCTCGACAATGTGTACTCTTTGTTGGAGCACAGATGCAACAGTCTTGATTGCTGAAATGTGCAAGAGGGTCAGCATATGCAATAAGAGTCCTTTCTGTTGCATGTGATGGATACTTATGGGTCTGTTTGTGTCTGTTGCATGAGGTCATTCACTAGTTGACAAGGCTCTTCAGTGGACAAAGCTTGATAGAGCTGTTCAATTGTTGGATTGGTAATGACGGGCGCCTGAGGAGCTTGCAGCACTGGAATGTCCATCTTCTTTGTTGCTAAAGGTATCAATGTTGTAGTAAAGCCATTGAGATGTCGTGGAAAGGGGCCAGAGTAGCTGCATCACATTGCTCCACTCTCTGGACACCATTAGGCGTCATTAGGGCTGCTTGGCATTGGATGGGGATCTGATGCACCCAGGGAATGCTATGCGCAATGTGTCTCCTCTTTGCGCCCTACCAGGCTGCCCAGACTGCATCTCTCTGCTGGTGGCCGCATCTCTGAGCTTTCCCAAAGGCCAAAGATGCTTGGGGCGTAGTTCCAGATTGAATAGATCGACCTTGTCACTGAGCCCACCCACCTAGGGCATTTCCCAAGGGGATGCCAAGAACGTCAAGTTTCAGAAGGCGGAGACTGTTTGTGAACGGTTAGGCGAGAAGCTGAGGCGGGTCAGACAGATAGAGGCTTCACAGAGGTCGACGTTGCCAAACAAAGGGCACGCTTCGTCAAAATCAGCTTGTACAAGATCAAGTTGCTTCAAAAAATGTGGCGCGGAGCTTGAAGCGTATATTCCACGTTTTCATAACGTGCTGGTACCTTGCCGAAATTGAGGCATGTCAATAGAACGGACACGTTTGGGTAGCAGGTTGGCACTTCCATCTCATGGACAAGCACGGTCGCGGTGGATTTCGACTTGTTTGAATATATCGACGTAATAATACCGCGCACACAAAAGGGACTGCTTGCTTCGGTCGCGAGTGGCTCATCTGCCAAGATGTGGCCATCCGACTGTTCTGACTCAGCTTTGCAAACTTGCAAAGGAGCGCAATGCGACATCGCGACGGTCCCTAGAGTTGGCATAAATCAAAATTTGAATGTTGGGGGAGAGCGATGGCGTAGCGGCTTAAGAAGAGGAGCATCTCCGGCTGAAGCGGCAGCCTGACAAAGACCATCTAGCTCCAGCATTCCTCTTGCCACCGTCCATCGGTAAGCATGCCCTCCACGTACTCCTTCGCTTGTTGCTCCGTGTAGCCACCGTGTTCGACTGCCACTTGTTCCACCGCCTTTCTGACTCCGGATGGCATGCTGCCCGAAGAGCCAGAGATCATCACATAGCCTCCGCCGATTCGAGCATCAGTATGGCCGTTTGACAGTCCAGGGACATGTGTGGCACGTCTGCTGGGACGCAGGGCGTCCCAGACGAGCGCGCTCTGCTCCACTATCTTGTCTTGTACGTACGTCTTGCCACCATCCTCTGCCTCGCGCGAGGCTGCCAAGAAATACCTCAATGTCGGACTACTCTGAGCATCTTCTCCTGCGAGCTTTTTCCAGTCGTCCCCAAACAGCCAGTCCCTCTGCGAGTGTCTGCATCCCAGAAAGACTAGTGTGTTGTTGGGGTCTGAGTTGCGCGCTGGTAGCGACCGTACTCGCTGTTGAACCAAAGCCCGGATCGGCGCAACCCCGGTGCCAGGCCCAACAAACACGACGGGCGTCTGCGGCGACTGGGGCAAACGCAGAGTTCCACGCTTGAAACGCACCGGCAGTGTCGTGCCTGAGAGGAGTGGGAAAGGGCATGAGTCTTGGGTGCATCGATTGCGCAAAAAGGATGCACGTCATCCTCCTCACCTGGCTCTAATGTTTCTACCCAACGCGAGCAGACGCCTCTTCTAGGCTTGTCGAGTCGCGTTCGATACTTGACGAGCGCAATTGCGAGCTCAACAATTCGTTCATTGGTCTGAGCAAGGGTTGCCGTACGAGTCAGCTCGAACCTAAAAGGGGATCAATGCGCGCCCTACCCACCTCTTTGGCACAAGCGATGCTGAATTCGCGTGCACGCAAAGGGGGCAGCAGATCGAGAATGTAATCCGGCGGTATCCTGACCTCGTCAAACTCTTCCATGACCTCGGTGCAGGTCCTGCGCACTCGCATCGCATACTCGTACAGCTCATCGGCTCCCTCGTTGTGCGACTGGCCCTGCGGTGCCGATCCGCAAAACTCGTTGAGCTTCTCGCGCTGCAGACTACCCTTGGGCGCCCAGTGCCGCATGACGTCAAAAAAGGACATTCTCGGCACGCTGAGGGGTGAGAGATGCCTGGTGAGTAGCGTGCGCAGCGTAGCAAGCTGACCTTCGACAAAGGGAGCTGGTAGA